TTGGCGGTGGCAGCCAGCAGCAGCTCCGCAGGAGAAAGCCTGGCCTCTCCTCCGTGCACAGCGACAGCCCCGGAAACCCACGGGGTCACCGTGGGGCCGCATCGACTCCGTGTTGACAGATGGTGTTTTGAAAGCCATCAGACTGCCCAGATCCAGTGAATGGGCTGATCTAGAGCCTCAGGGCTGATCTAGAGCCTCAGGGCTGATCTAGAGCCTCAGGACAGAACGTCCGCTTCACGATCGTTGTCCTTCGGCGCTGCCCCGTCAGTTCCAAGCCACAGCGACCCGGTGCACAACAGAATGAAGTACAGTACTGCCTGGTCCTGGTGGTGCGTCGTGGTTCCAAACTGGGCTGCTAACTGCAAGGGAGGCAGTTCAAAACCACTAGCCGCTCTCGGGAGAAAGGCAGGGCTTTCTACTCCTGGAGAGAGTTACCGTCTCGGAAACTGACCCCCAGGGGCAGTTCTAGCTTGTCTCATAGGGTTGTTGTGAGCGTGGTCCCGCGCCATCTGTACAGGGGTTATGTTTGAGACGATTGTTGCAACTGCTGCCAATCCTGCCGCGCAGGGGCCTTCCTCGTTTCCCTGCCCCTCGACTTTCCCAAGCAGGATGGCCTTCTCCAGGTCTTCATGAGAGGCGCCAATTAACGTCAGCGTCTGGAGCAGGCACTCAAGAGAGGCCGCTCTTTAAGGGACCGTGCGAATGGCTGCAGCTAAGTTCAGGGTTCTTAAAGGGGGGAAATCTAAAGGTGCCCAAAAGGCGGGCTCACTAGGGTCATTTGAAATGGTCCTAAGAACGTGCAGTAAATACTCTGGGGGCAGGGAGGCGGGGGTGTTGCATACTGGCGCTGTGAATTGTTTGAGGTGGAAAGGAGAGGGCAGAAGATGCCAGCGTCTCTCCTGAGCCAACCTGACAACGTGGCGAGCCATCTGGGGCTGTGGCTTCTCTCCTTCCTACGAGAAGGGGTGGTCCCCACCTCCACACACGGGTCGTGGATCTCCATAACCTGCACAGGGCGCCTTTGTGTGGCTGCATTTTCGTTTTCACTTTAACAGAAGAGATGGTGACAGGAATTGGGCAAAAGTGGGATTTAAAAAAATTTTTTTACAAGGCACTCTAGTTCCCAACATAACCTATAAAAGAAATACTGCCTGGCTCACTCACGTTCCCAAGTCCCCTTGTGTTCCTCTTGGGATACCTTCAGAAACCTGCCAAGTCTTTGAGCCACAGCTAATGTGGTCATTTCATTAGGAAGCAGGGGGAATTTCATTAGGCGCTGCGAGGATCTAGCGTACTGTTGAACGTGTCCTAAGTGTCTGGCGTTGTGAACACCGCACGAGGCATATGAAAGCCACCGCCCGGCCCGGCTGACCTGTGTGGTTTATGTGTTTATCGTCAGCCCTTGGAGGTTTCCGGGCGTTTCAACAGCAGGCTAGGTCCCGTCGTCGCCGCAATGGAGTGAGTCCGAGATCTCACACGCTCACAGAGGCTGAGCCTGCCCTCTCACTCTCCGCGCACACCCCGTGCTGTTCTTGGGACATGGGAGCTCGCAGCCTTATTCATGCCTCACGGGGGTATTGCCGGGTTGTGCACTGTACCCCACTCCCTGGAGAAACATGTGCTTTGTCAGATTAGGGCAGTGCTGCCTGGACCGCTGGTGAGAGTGGGGACTTAGCCGGGGATCCTCCCCCACTGCTGTCAGGAGAATCCTGAACGTGGTGTGTCCCATTGACTTTCAGCCATTCAGCGGGATCCACCTCAACAACAAGGAGCCGGGGATGTATCACTGTGTGTGCTGTGACGGCCCACTCTTCAGGTAAGCACCGCGGAGAAGGCACAGGTGGGCCGGGGCGAGGAAACCTCTACATCCCCCCGGTGCCCGTCTCAGTGAGGCCGGGGAAATCAACGCCTCCCCGTTGGGCTCCGGTGCTGCCGCTGTTCCCCTAAGACATGTCCCTGCTTTGATCGTTTCTGCCGTGGGAGCTGTTAGCAAGGCTTCCTGACCTGCATGCTTCCTGGAGAGAGAGCAAGCCCACAAAAGATGCAGTGGCCCCTTAAGACAAAGCTATTTGAATTTCTTAGAGGGTAAGTATTTAAAGACATGGAAGCCTTAATTGTGTTTGCTTGGCCATGTGATTAAAACTGTATCCTCTCCCAGGGAAAATGGGTTTATAACTTAATTTAGGAAATGTAGGTTTTTATGAGGCTCCCCCCCACCCCCACCCCGCTACTTGACAGTAGTGAATGCCATGCCTGAATCTATAGAGCGGGGAGTAAATTTAATTGTCCCTTGATTTCAAAGCCTCTTTTAAGTCAATCAGGATCTGAAATCTCTCAACAAAGCTTCTTTGTTGTTGTTGTTGTTTAGACATGCAGGAAACAGTCTGTAAAAAAAGCAGAATGATGAGGGGAAAAAAGGGAAACGTCTGGGCAGCCCTGTTTTTCAGAACTTCAAAGATGTTTTCCTTTCTCGTGCATCTACCCTAAATTGGTTTAGAATAAATATAAACCAAGCCAGCTCTGGGACTGTCTCTTCCATCAGGCAGGGCTGCATTATAGACGTCCATCCCCCGGGCTTCGAGCCCATGGGCTGCCCAGGCCGGTTGGAGTAGGAAAGCCAGAGCCCAGCCTTCGAGGCCGGGCGGCCACCAGGATGGATCTTCCCGCGTGGGCCCTGAGGCCAGGCCTCTGCCACCTCCCTCCCCGTGTGGAGATATCAGAGTTAGCGGCAGCACGGGTGGCATCACATTGTCTAGGCACAGTGCTTCTAAACCTGTGGGTCGGGACCCCCCTGAGGGTCGACTAACCCTTTCACAGGGGTTGCCTAAGACCATCGGACAACACACAAATATTTCACAATATCTAATTACATATTATTTGGTGATTAATCACTAGACTTTGAATATGTTTAATTATGTTCAATTTGTAACAATGAAAATACATCCTGCATATCAGATATTTACATGACGATTCATAACAGTAGCAAAATCACAGGGATAAAGTAGCAATGAGAGTAATTCTATGGTTGGGGGTCACCACCACCTGAGGAACTGTATGAAAGGGGCGCGGCATTAGGAAGGGTGAGAACCACTGTTCCAGGAGAAGTAGGGGTCACTGTTGTGCAGCACAGATTACAGTTGTTATTTGGGGGGCACTTTGAGACCTGCTTTCAGCCCAAAAAAGCCCATGTTGCGCATGCAGACAAGTCCCTGCCTTCTTACTCCGTGCGGGGCTTCACAGCACGCAGTAGCCGTCTGGAGCGAGGAGACCAACGAGATGCACCCTCGAAGAGGCTGGTGGAGATCTGTAGTCCTTACTGTTTTATTTACGTACTTCGTGTTTTCCTTTTTTAACTCCCTTGGAGTTTTCAGTTTGTGCAACTCCAAAGAGAAGGTCTTCTTCCTCCTCATTCTCCCCCATCCCCACTGTGGCCCAGGCTCATTCACAGAATCACAGAACGTCAGCGCCCGAAGGATCTGAGTGGAAAGGCCTGCCCTCCTGCCCCGTCGTGAGCTGAGCAGCCATTACTGAGCACTGGGAAGATGCCTCTGCGCCAGCGAGGTGCCAGGCCTTGATTTCATTTGAGCTCACGTTCTCTGAAAGGGCTGCATGTGGCTGCTGTGTTGTTTCCAGTCTTAGTCCACACAGAAAAGGAACCCTGGGTGTGTAGAGGTTACTTACGGTGGTAGGCCGCTAACCACAAGGTGGGCAGTTCAAAGCCACCAGCGGCACCTCGGGAGGAAGACAGGGCTTTGTACTCCCGTCAAGTGATCCAATCTGGGAAACTCAGAGGGGCAGTTCTGCCCTGTCGGAGAGGGTCAGCATTGACCTGGTGGCAGTGAATTTGAGTCCCAATGGGGGAAGTAAGACCACCCAGGCCGAGGCTCCGAGGTGGAGGAGGTGCCAGGACGGACAGGTAACCCCGCTGACTCTGTAGAGGCCTGTTCACCAGCTGAGCGTAAACCACTCAGCATAAACCGCCAACTCAACCCACGTGGTTGGTTTGATTGCTTTTTACTGAAGAGTTAAGACGTTGGTTTTAGTTGAGACGTTTACACCTCATTTTCATAAGGAACTTTTGAATTGCTTTCTCTCAGCTTCCGGCTGCAGGTAAGACTGGGGGAAGAGGAAGAATTTATTCCTAAGCCACCTCGGTGTCCCCAGAACACGGCAGAAGGGCGCATGGCAGTGTGGCAGAGGTCAGGGCTGCCTGGCTGCACTCGCCAGCTCCGTGCCTGTGACTTGGGCGCCTTTCTTAACCTCTTTGTGCCTCGCTTTCCTCACCTTAACATCCGGGTCATAACAGTGCCCGAGTGACGGACAGGTGTGAAAATGAGGTGAGCTGTGAGTCTACGCTGCCCTAGCACCGAGCAGTGCTTGCCACATGCCGCCCGGCCCACAGCGTCCTTCTCAGAGGCCTTCAAGACCACGTGGACTCAGAGCAAGGCCCACGGAACAGAAAACTCAGCCGGAGGGGTTTCTGAGCTGTAATTGTTATGAGAACACTGCCCCACTCCCCCACCCAGGTCTTTTTCCTGAAGAGATGTTTGTGGGTTCGAACCACCAACCATTGCATTCAAAGCTGAGCCCTTAAGCCTTGTGCCGCCAGGGCTCCCCAAGCACTCAGCAGTTGTTCACAATCACGCGCTCTGAGAGCGGGGGCTTCTTAGGGCTTCGTGCGCGCAGGCACCCTTGATGCTGAGGAAATCGCGAGGAGATGTCTTTGCTTTGTTGGTGCCTCTCCCTCAGGACGTGCTTCGCCCCCCTTCCTTTCCAGCCAGCAAGGCCGTGCCGACTGCAATGGCAGGTTGTTTGTGATCTTCTTCGATCCCCATCCTGCCCTGTTCTTCAGCTCGGCCGGCTTCTCGGGATCTGCTTGGCATACAGATTGAATAGGTGTGGTGGAAGGACACTTCCCGGACCCCCGCTTTCCAGGCCGTGTCCCCTTGTGCTGTTCGAATGGCTGCCTCTTGGCCAACTAAGTGTTTGGGAGTTCCCATTCTTCCTATTGTTACCTATACTTTGCTGTGTTCCACACACTCAAACGCCTTTGTGCAGTAAGAGAACTCAGAGGGGCATCTTTCTGGTGTCCTCTACTTTCAGCACCATCCACCTGATGGAATCGACCGTGGCCCGTGTTGCAGGTGCTCTTCCGAATCCGACGGGGCTTTCAGACAGTGCCCTGTCGTTAACCTGCTACAACTCTTGTCGAACTATCTTTAGCAAACTTGACTTGCATATGAAATCAGTGACATCGTTTTGGGTTTCCACATTCCACTGGGTCTCTTTCTTTGGGATGGACCAGAATTTGGATCTCACTGGGTCAGTCGGCCAGGGTGGCTGCCTTCCACACTTCCTTAGACCAATGAGCACATTCCATGTGTTTGTTCACCAGCTATCCCGTCAACTTCCGGCATGTGCTTCTCAATCTATGGCGGTGCTCAATACGTAATCTTTAATTGGTTGATGGACCCAATCTGTCCTGTAGACCTGGACAACAGTTGGAATATCAAATGAGGTGAAGGCTTCACATTGTAGTAGAAACGTAAGGAAAGTGGATACAACCACCCACCTCACTTGCTACATCTATGCAGGCACTGGGCTCGGTCCTTTACAGTTCATCCCCACGCGCCAATGGGAACGCACGAATCCCCCTCCAGCAGGTGGAAAATCCGCAACTCTCAGGGTCTTTAAGTTACTTTCCCAGGGCCCCACACCTCGTCCTTGGCCGCACGCCCCGTCATTGGCCCACGGGGAGCTCAGTGCGTGGCATCGGTGCCATGTACTTCCCAGAGAGGGAATGTGTCGAGCACAGAGGAGCCCCTTCCCGGCGTGCCCCCAGCACCGTGCCCAAGCTCCGCACATGCCTCATTTAACCAGGCCCCTCAGCAGCCCTGCCCAGTGCCGGGCTGCTTCTCCTTCCACACGAGGGGAACTGAGCCGTGGGGAAACTCAATAACTTGCCCAGGGTTCTACAGTCTATAATGTGCCAATCAAAACCATGAACCCCTGCCTGTCTCTTAAACTCCAAGGCCCACTCTCTTGTCCCTCCAGCCCAGGTTCCATAAGCCACCCTGGCAGCCCTGTCTCCTGGGCACCATCTCCATCTGGTGGCAGCTTCCTGAATTATAGACACCAGTGCCTGCAAGGGGAGCAGCCTCAACAAAGGGGCACACTCTGGTCAGTGAGAGGACAGCAGCTCTGAGCGCCCTTCCAAAACCCTCTTCCCAGCAGCCCGTTTTAACACTTATCCTACTTTCCATTGTGAACCTGTGACCATTGGATGCTCCGCAGGAGCGAACTTTCAATGGAGGGCTTCCAGCTCAAGCGCACTCTCCATGTTAAAGTCCCCCTAGAGACCTCAGACTGTTGTTACCCCTGGAATTGTGTGACACTGGCCCTCTCTTACTTCCTCAATCCCTCTCCGCACGCACGCAGCCAGTTCTGAGCGCGTCTGTTAAAATCTGCTGTGGGTACGGAGGAAGAGGAGGCCTCGTACACCCAACGAGTTAGTCTTGCAAACCCACGGGGACCGTTCAGCCCCATCCTGTAGGGTCACTGTTCATCTGAATCGGCCCCATGGCTGAGTTTGGGCTTTTGGGTGGGTGTGTGTATTTTCAAATTGTAGGATGTCATACTTTGTGGTCACCTGCACGTCACAAGGGCCTGAGTAAAGTTGTTTAAAAAGACCTTGTGTGTGCCCCTGCCTCACCCCAAGGCAACAGAAACTCCACGAAGACGCTGACGAGGTCGCTGACGAGGTCAGGTCACTAGGTGCTGATGCTGTTGAGTGAGGGCTCTGGGCTTTCCAGAAATCAAAGCAAAGCAAATGCGTGCATAACGAAACCAAACAAATACGTGCATAACGAAACCAAACAAATACGTGCCTAACGGAACCAAGCCGCAGAGCGCTCTGCGAGTAAGTGAGTCAGAATGGTTTCAGTTTCCCAAGGGTAGACCTTATAATCTGCTAATCACTTAAACACATATGTAAGCATTTCTAATTGACCTTAATGGCAGGTTCTCGGTCTTCAATTATAGACCTTAGGCCTATTAGATTACTTTGTAAAACCTCCAGATTTTGTTCATTGCATCAATAAAGGTTTATTGTTTCCCCTGAAGTATTTCAGGGGCTTTTTATTAGTATGAGCTTCATTCTTCTTTTGTTTTGTCATATATCATATCCATACTTTTCCATCAAAATTCCTTTAATGGTTAGTAATTTACAGATATGCAGAGAGGGAATTGCCAAAGGTGATTAAAATATACTTGCTGTATTTCTCCCGGGCCAGAGTATTTGACTTGGAGAAGTATTTCTTTTCTTTTAATTCATCATTTTATTGGGAGCGCTTACAGATGTTATAACATCCCATAATTCAAATAGATCGAGCATAATTGTACAATTGCTCCTACGATCAGTTTCAAAACATTTTCTTTCTTCTTGAGATCAGCTCTCCTTTATCCCCTCCGTCCCTGACCCTTCCCCCATGGAACCCCTGTTGTTATTATATATTATTATCATCATTATTTTATTCTATGCATATTTAGCCATATCTTACCCCATCCAATCTATTGGAAAAGTATTTCGGAGCCCTTGGGAAAAGATTGCAAACAATCCACCCTTGACATCTAGATACTTCTGCTTGGACCCACCGTTTCATGGACACTTGTTAGCATTGATAATATTAATATTAGGAACAAAAATAGAACTCATTGCCATTGAGTCACCTCCGACTCTTGGTGACCCTACAGGACAGAGCAGAGCAGCCCTTGTGGGTTTCTAAGACGGACACTCGTTACCGGCGTAGAAAACCTTGTTTTTTCTCCTGCGGAGCGGCTGGCGGTTTTGAGCTGCCAACCGCAAGCCCGTCGTGTAACCACTGTGCCTCCAGGGCCGGACCAAGTGTCAGCCCGACCACAAAACACAAAGTACCAGAAACAACGTAAGCGAATCCTCTCGGCAGTCCTATGAGGTGAGAGTGCCATTTCTGCTCTGTAGCTAAGGATATTTGTATTCTATAGATAACGGGAGTTTAAAGATTAAATCATTTACCAGCACCACGCGGGTGTCACAAAGCCCGGATCCGCACCCCAGTGTCAGCTATCCAAATGGTTTCTCCTGCTCTGGCGCGGTCCTCAAAAGTGTGACCGGAGGGCCCATGGGCTCTGGGGCTTTGTTCTGTGCCCGAAGCCCTCCCTTTCCACCTGGAACTCGAGTGAGGGCAGACTCTGCAGCGCCTCCCCCAGACCAGCGTCTCGGCAGATGGCCTTCGGAAACACACAGGAGGTCAGCTGTCTCTGATTAAGGCAGGCATCAGAGGGGCTTGTGAAATGTAAAACAAACAACGCCGCCTTCTCCCTAGATGTGTGTTTCCCTGTGGAAAGCGTCATTCTTTGTCACAAAATGGGCTCTGTGTTCGCGTGAGCTGGTAAAGATTATTTTTTAAAACTTCTCTGATGTATAAATCTTTTTCTTTTTGAAAAAAATCTCAGTTCCAGTTTCTGATTTGTTAACTGGTGATTTGTGTGACCCAGGCAAACAAAGCTCTTAGGGGTGCGCCATCACATTGGTGTATAAAGGGGTGATGCATTTTAGGACCTCTGAATTACACATGCTGCGTTGTTTCTGCCGGGGTTCATGCTCTAAACGGGGGTCTCCTTTGTGTTCATGGTCAAGAAGGTTGTGTTAGGTCGGGTTGACTAGAGAAACAGACCCAGAGACACTCATATTTGCGTAAGAAAGAGCTTTCTATCAATTATATAGCAAGAAATCATCGCAGCCCAGTACAACTCAAGTCCATAAGTCTGATACTAGTCCCTAAGTCCCTCTCGACTCACGCAGCCACATGCAATGATGCAGAATGCAGGGAGATCACAGGCCGGTGGGCGCAAAGTCATGTAGATCCAAGGTTGGCGGAAACACGGCAAGGCTCCAGCGGCTCTCAGGGTGACCAGCCAGCCAGAAGAGAAAAGCAGAGAGCGAGGGAGAGTCCCAGGGTCCTCCTTAGAAGAAGCTCCCCCACCCCCCACCAAAGACATCAGACTTTAACCTGATTGACAGGTGGGATTCTACCCCTGTATATATCTTTAAGTTGACATGGAATTATATAATTACCACCAGAATTCATTTGCCACCTTTTTCTTCTTTGCGCTCTCTCTCTGTCTCTCTCTTTTTATCCCCCTCTTTTTGGCAGTGTGTGGCATTCAATTCAAAGAGCCCTGGTGGTGTAGTGAATTGTTCATTGGGCTGCTGCCCTCAAGATCAGCAGTTTGAGCCTCTACCAGCCTCCCTAGAAGAAAGACGAGGCTTTCAGCTCCCGTAAAAACGTATAGTCTCAGAAACCCACGGGGTAGTTCTACCGTGTCCTGTATGGTCACTCCCCTCTCCTCTACGGTCGGTAAGGGTCAGAATCAACTAGATGGCAGGGTTTGCTTTAGCTTTTGAGAGCAGTCAATTATTCTCTTCCTTAAATAGGTAGGGCCACCTCCCTGTCTCTGAAAATTAACCTCTCTTTCCCTGGCGCTATTTTTTTTTTTAAGGCAAAACCTCATTGTTATCAGCGTTGATTCTGACTGCTAGGGAGCCAGCCAGTGGGGCAGAGCAGGCCTGCACATAGCAGTGCAAGGCCGTCATCTTTAGGGAAGCAGACTGCCACAGAGAAAACATGCTCTCTCCCCAGAGCGGCTTCTCAGTTCGAACCGAAGACCTTTCGGTCGGCGGCCAAGCGCTTCACAGCCGTGGCACCAGGGCTCCATCATGCAAGCCCCCCTCGGCACCCACGTGCGGGAGCTGATCGGTCACAGCCCTCAGAGAGGACGGGTCTTTGCCGAGGAGACTGGCTTGTTGCCCTTTCCCTTCTCCGGCCAGCTGCTCCGGCTTCCCCAGCCATCAGTCCCCTTCAGCTGGAGGGCCGGGCTTCACGAACCCCGATGCCGGGTTCCCCCTCATAACCAGAGCTAGCGTCCGGGGCACATCCCTGGGCCAGGCGTGGCGCAGAGCTGTAAGCTGAGCCCCACCAAGTTATCTCCTCACAGCCGCTCTGCAAGGGGGCGAGGTTCGTGATCTCCGTGCCACAGCTGAGGACAAGCGTAGAGAAGCTAAGAGCTCAGCCTCTCTAGCCACAGAGCTAAGACGTGGGGAGTCAGCCTCACAATCCCCACGCCCAGTCGGACTTATGTGTCTAAGAGAAAGCCTGACATTCCTATCACCACACAAAAATGGCTGTTTTCATCAGGGCTTGGGTTTTTTTTCTGATGGACCAATATCATGGTGACCTCCTGAGTGAGATCACTGTGATTTCAATTGGACGCCCCCCCACCCCATTCTACACTTAGAGTGCAGGGATGGGTCTGACCCACCTTCCTACTATGCCTCCCCGTTCGATGAGCTCCCAGTGTGCTCAGATCCTTGTCAGACTTCAACAAAGACGCCCTTACCATCAAAGGAACAAGAAACGCTTTCACTGTGGCAAGACAATGCCCTTCATCCTGGAGGTGCCCTGGGAAAAGTTCCCGTGGAACTGAGTGTGGGTAGCTAGGCTTGGGGCGCCAGCAGAGGGCTGAGGGAGAAGAACGCAGCGGGGCCTGCCAGGCGCTGTGTGTCTGGTATCCACGGCGCAGTAGGAGCCGTGCCCTGCAACTGTCTCCCGCAGTTCTGAGAAGAAGTACTGGTCTGGCACGGGGTGGCCTTCCTTCTCGGAGGCACACGGCACAGCTGGCGCCGATGAAAGCAACACCGGGATCCTGAGACGTCTGGACACCTCGTTAGGAGCGGCTCGCACAGAGGTGGTCTGCAAGCAGGTGGGCATTTTCATTTCCTTTTGTGTCCAACGAGGGCCCCGCAGGTATCACAAAGAGCTCTCTCATCCTCGGCATGGGTAGCATTATTTCAGGGGTACAGTTGCCATGAAAACTCATGGAGTTAGTATTCATACTGACAATAGCCAACCCCCCTTTCTCCCACAGGTCTGAATGCTAAGAGAAAAAAGGTTCCTGAGCCCCTTTCTAAAGTAGCCCTCCCAAGTCTAGCCTTCCCTGAAGACGGGGCCAGAGTTAGGACCTGAAGGAAGACGTTGGGCCCCTCCTAGTCTTCTAAGCAAGGACAGGCAGCAGAAAGGTCCAGCGTGGCTGGTATTGACCCAACTTCATCCTCAGTCAGCCCGTCTCTCTGACAGCCATCCCAGAGCAGTGTTCCTGCCGCAAGCCTTCCTCTGTGAGAGACCGAGTTAAAACCAGCCAGCTAACGTATTCCGATATCCTGCCATGCTCACACTTTCTGGCTCAACCAGTTGCTATAGAGCCAGCTCCAACTCACAGCACCCCCCTGTGTGTCTACCCCCACCCCCACCCCTCACCCCCGTAGAACTGCGCTCCCCGTAGACGTCGTGGCTGAATGTTTTGCATGGACCACCAAGCCTATCTTCAGAGACGTCTCTGGGTAGACCCAGTTTCCAAGCTTTCAGTTAGCAGCTGAGTGTGCTAACTGATCCTCCCACCCAAGGACTCCTTTCTGACTCGGGAGTTTTGCAAACACACCCGAGGCAAGCAGATAAAAGATACCATACTCTTGCCTTCAATTAAAAAAATAACAACAGCTTAACTACAACAACTAGCACCAGGAGCACTTACTGCTTGCCTCAAGGACGACGTAATGCTTGATGTGCATGATATCAATTAATCATCAAGGCAGCCCTATTGTGTTGATATAATTATTGTCCCCGTTTTATAGATGAGTAAACCAAGACCTAAGTTAAAACACTTGTTCACATTCTCAATGGTAAAGTCCAGCTACCTCCCACGACTGTACTCTGCATTCTTTCGTCGGTTGGATTCTAAAGTGATAGATTCTCTACCCCTGATGGTTGTCAAATCCTAGAGTGGGGTGGCCATGAGAACTTCCTGCGTCTCGCTTTATACAAAGATCTTTGCTTCATCTGAGGAACTGACTGCATCTCCTCTCCTCTTTTTAGTGCGAAGCTCATCTGGGCCATGTGTTTCCTGATGGACCCGGGCCTAACGGTCAGAGGTTTTGCATCAACAGTGTGGCTCTGAAGTTTAAACCAAGCAAACACTGACTATCTCAAGAGGCCTATCCACTTGCCATTACTGCAGTTCCATCCTCAATATGTGCATAAGAATAATTTTATTGTAGTTACACCGAAGCAAGGCTAAGCTCGCTACTGGCACCAAGAGAATCACAGCCTATCTTAATATTTGTTAGCTTGTTGAATCAAGCTAACCCCGACTCCTGTTTGGGTGAGCAGTTTCAAGAAGCGGCAGAGGGGAGTTGGTGGCTTCTGTAGGCTTTACCCAATACCACAGTACATGACTCCTGGGGGACAGAGAGGGCCAACAGACTAGTAAGCCAGAAAGTTACCACAAAATATTCCTGAAGTTCCATTTAAAATCTTCATGGACATATCTGCACGTGGGATCAAGTAGAGAGATGTAGGAGACTCAATATGGGATCGGGGTCATCAGTAATCTTAGCTTTGACAGAGAAGCCAAAGAGTGGGAGATGTGTTTTGGGAGTCACATGTGATTGGTAGGATGCAGAACTTGGAAAATTGAGGCTGTTTTGAACATTCTAGCTCCTTTCTATCGACCCACATATAAACCCCAATGAAAAGTGATAGTCACCCTTGTTCCTTCTGGATATAAACTTAGAAATGTTCAAATAAAGTGTTTACCAGAATTTACATTTGATGTTTGTCTAATTATATGTATTTATATATTATATGTATATAAATTATATTTATATTTTATATAAAAAGGCATTAAATCAAAATGACCAAAAATTATTAGATCACACGACAGTAGGCATTTGGCGATACCCAAACTAATAGCAACGCAGATGCTTTACATATTACGCGTCGTCTTAGGCCAGGTTCTCCAGATAAGCAAAGCCTGTGACACTTACAGGGAAACCATCAGGAGGTTCATTTAAGTTTGGAGCCTGAGCCCGCAGGGAGGCGGTCTCTCAGAACACATTCACATCACTTAGCACTGATGAGCAGAAAGACGAAAATAGATCTTTGGCAGCAGTCATGAAAGATACGGAAGTCTCTGAATCTTCAGGGCATTGATACTTTCTGTTTACTCACCAATGAAAGACAGAGCTGATATTTCCAGCACTTATTGCTATGAAACTCCCTACAAAGACATCAAAAACTAGCATTAAAGTTTGTTGGTGGGATGAAGGAAAACAGGCGGAAATCTTTGGAAGAATTCAGAAAAACAATAGAAGAGCAAAAGAAGGCGTTTAGAAAGGAGATAGAAACCTTTACTAAAAAGCAGCTAGGAATTCCGAAGCTTAATAACCAATAATGAATAAAAAGCTCTTTAGAAAATACAGAAGTAGAATGGACACCACGGGAGGAAGAAGCGGTGAACTAGAAGACAAGAACTCAGACGACTCAGCTTGAAGAGCAAGTGGGAGAAAACTGAGCCCGGCGTAAGGGTCCTGGGACAGCATGAAGGGAAATAAGGTACGCATAGTAGGGATTCTAGAGAGAAGAGAGGAAATGAAGTCCTGAATGTATTTTTGAAGAGATAATCACAGAACATTTCCCAACTATGGAAGATGAGATTATCATCCGAGATGCCCAACGAAGTACATCCAGGTTAAACCCTAAGAAAAACACCCAAGACACATCATAATCGAACTTCCAGGTATCAAGATCAAAGACTTCTGAGAGCAGCGTGAGATAAGGGAATGTTACTTACAAAGGACCAAGAAGATTAAGTGCTGATTTCTCACCAGTGACTATTCAGACAAGACGGTGATGGGGAGACATATACAGCACCTTGAAAGAAAATAACTATCGACCAGAAATAACATATCCAGCAAAATGATCATTTAAAAGTAAGAGTGAAATTAGCGGTTTTCCAGATAAACAGAAATTAGTCTTGCTTAGAGCCATAATCAATGCTCATGGAGGCAGCAGTAGAGAGGTCAAAAGATAGTTGCATTGGGCAGATCTGCTGCACAAGACCTCTTTAGAGTGTGGAAAACCATCAGACCAGCCCTGCAGGAAACATGAAAGGACGCTCTCCGGAAAGGAACCGTGATCCCAGCCCAACCATCCAGTGTTGATGCTAAACAACCACCTGAACACATGTAATAAAATTAGTTTACAATGAGCTGGGATATCTGGGTGTGGTAGTCACCTAATCTGGTGCCAATTTAAGGATTAAGAGTGCAGGGGTGGAGTCTGGCTGTCAATCTGGAGATAGCCAATGAGACTTTTGTGTGGGCATGGCCTTCTCCTGAGAATTCTGGGAAATCTGGTCCTTCCTCCTTGGAGGTGGAAGACACTTCTCTCTCTGCTACTCCCTGGGAGACATTGCAGAAGACAAGTCACATGGACGCAACCAGACCTCGGAAGCCGGAGAAACCACAGAGAGACCCCTGCCAGCGCTGAGATGCTTACAGCGCCACTGGACCCAAAGACTTTCTACCCACTGGCCTGTGATCGTCCTGCATTTGACTTCATTGCATGTGTCTCATGAGTCTGAAGAGGACTTTATAGATTGGTACCAGACATATGGGCTAATATCAGACTTATGGCTTTGAGCTGGACTGGGTTGAGATGTTTTCTCAATATTCAATTCCTCTTGTATATAAATCTCTTTCTTATACACATATGTGTGTCCATGGATTTGTTTCTCTAGTCTACCCAGACTAACACACTGGGCTACACAGCTGTAATTGAGAATAACAAAAATAAAATGGATGATTAGTATAGATAAGAAGAAAGTTTTCAGGGAATCTTAAGTGATTTGGTAATAAAAAAATTATCAAAAACATAATAGCAAAGGAAAATATTTATTTCTAAAAAGAACCCAGCTTTGAAGGTAGAGAAGAAAGAAGCCATAGATTAAACCAGGAGGGGGTTGGGGGATGGGGAACATTTAACAAAATGTTTGAAGTAAATTCTTCTATTGATGATCAATGGCCGTGAATGTAAATGGACTAAATATTCTAGTCAAGAAACAGTGGTAGACTCAATGTCAAATATGACATTTCTCTATGACAAAGGCTGTACCTTAAGCGCAAGTGCATAAATAAAGTGAGGTGGAGATACTTGACATAACAAGTAATCAGTAATACAGAGCAAACAAGAGTGGCAATGTTAGTGTATGACAATAAGCTGTAAGTGAAAATGTATTGTGAGACAGAGAAGGACAATCCTGATGTGAACCACTTTTTGGTGATGGGCAGACCAGTTTTAAAAGGAAATCAAGAAACAGAAGACCTGCAGAATAGCGATCATTTGGAACTAACAGACGTAGAGCACACCCTGAACAGTAGCACGGTACACGTGCTACTTTGTCTCACATGTTTGATATAGACTCTCTTCAGACACAAAGTAAATTTCAGTAAGTTTAAAAAGATTGAAACCAGGTAAAGCATCTAATCTGACCATAACAGAATGAAGGTACATGTCAAGAACAAAAAGAATCAGGAAAGTTAATCTATGGAAATTAAACACTATGAAAATTACAGATCCACTGATTATTAATGAAATCAAAAGGACACTTAGAACCTTAAGAATGTAGTCAAAGAGGTAACAAATCATGAATCTTATGTCTGGATCCTAGAGTACACCTCATGTTAGTAGTCTGTGTGACAAATGGGCAGGGATATGTAATGTGCTTTGCTGCCGACCCGAATAGGATGGTTTAATTGCAGAAAGCACTTGTGGCACTGAGCTGTGAGTTGGCCTATCCACTTCAACCACAGACCATTTTTGTTGAAAGACTGAGTAACAGGCAGGCGATGGCTATTTAAACATAGTCATTTGGCAGACATTTTCTCAAACTGCCTGCTACTTCAAATAAACCACTGGCAGTGTTCATTTCCACGACAAAATGTAAATTACTGTGCGGAAATTAGGATTATGGAAACACTTTCCTGCCACCAGCTTCCCTTCAGTTGCGACAGATGGTGACATTAACACATGAACTTTTGAACAGTGTTATATGCCAACATTTAGAAGTAATGCATACTGCATTACTTGGTGAACCAACATCTTCCAAGTGTTCTTACTAAAAATCCCTTATAAATGAAAGAGTCCAATTGATTTTAATGTAATAGTATAAAAAAAAGGATTGATGAAACGACCATTTGTCAAGTTTGGGTGTTGTGTCAAAGAAGGATACGCAGTCCCCCACAATGATATTAAAATCTTTCTTCTTCAATCACAAATATACCCTGAAGTCGTCTTAGAGTTAGCCTGCCTGCCGAGCATGATACTGCGTTAACACCAGTCTAGGTGGGATCAACTGTACAATACATATTTAAAAGATTAGGTAGAGACTTCATCGGGTACTGAGTTTGTTCATGAAAGAGGGCGCAAATGGTTGCACAGCTGCAAGAAAGTGAGCTGATGTAAGGAGAGTTTCCTTGCAAGTGCAATCTGCTTCCAACATATAGATGTGGGTCATCAGGCAACGTTTGCTCTTTCTCTGTCTCTCAGTCCTGCATTTGACGCAGCATCATCTTGGGACTTGACCAGCAAGCAGCCTGCCGCCTGAACCACAGATTTTGCACTTGCTAGCTCCCACAGCAACATAAGTCAGCAGGCCTCCTCCTGACTTGCCGGTTTGGAGTAGATCAGCCCCCGCAAGCAGGCGAGTCAGGAGAAGCCTCCAGCCTAACATCTGACCCACAGATTTGTACTTAACAGACTCCACAACTGCGTAAGCCATTCCTTGAAATATATGCATATGTCGTTAAGTATCACCAAGTCAGTTCCAACTGAGTTGCCCAGTGTGGGACGGGGCGACACACCACTTCGTGTTCTTGTGCCATCCTCACAGTGTTCGCTTTGAGTCCATTTTTGCAGCCAGTGTGTCAATCCATCTCACTGAGGGTTTTCCTCTTTTCCAATGCCCCTCTATTTGACAAAGCACGATATCCTTTTCCAGCGACTGGTCTCTCCTGATAACCGTCCAAAGTATGTAGGATGCAGTCTCCCCATCCTTGCCACCAAGGAGGCCACTCTGGGCACACTCTTCCAAGACAGGGCTATTTGTCCTTGTGGCAGTTCATGGTGCTTTGAGAAGTGTCCCCTGGCACCACAATTCAAACACATTGGTGATGATTCTCCTCTCCCTGTCTCTCTTGTTATGCAATGTACAACTTTCACATGCCTACGAGGTGAGTAATAATATAGTCGCAGTAGGAAACGAACACGGGAGTCCTAACCCTTCAGTCCTCGTTACCTGTCTGTCCTTTACAGACATAGCACCTACTTGTAGCCTAGCTTTTCTCATTGTTCTGGGCGAGGCTGCTGGTCCGCTGCCAGCTCCTTTACCGGTTCTGGATCTTACTCCTTGTCATCGAGTTCACGCCAACGCATACCGACCCGGTACGACAGGGTTTCAAAGACTGAGCGTAACTCCTCATGGGAGCAAACCGCTTTCTCTTTCTCTCTCAGAGCAGCTGGTGGCTGAGAACTGCTGACCTTGTAATTAGCAGCCCAAGGTGTAACCGCCAAGGCTCCTCGCTGGTTCTGGATAAGGCTCATCACTGCGGTCTCCAGAACCCTTTAACTTTCCCTCACAAGCGGTCCACTGCGGAGGCCAGGAGGCTCGATTCATTCCCTTTTAGAGTTAGAAATGGAAACTCCAGAAGGCTAAATGAAGGGACCCAAGTAAGACGATGGTCCGAAGCCAAATCGGTACCACAATA